CGATTGAACTCCGGCCATAGCTGTTTTGCCTGCTGCTGAGAGAATTTCGCATAATGGGGACTGGCTGTATATTTTACAGAAATTGAATCAGTGGCAAATGAAATATGGGGTCCTGTGGCAGCCCTTTAAGCCACGCACAGGCCCTGCGTGACCGCACCAGCCGCATGCCCATGGAGCTGCCCTGCTCAGAGGTACCCCAGGGATCTGACAGATTCTACATGGTGCGCAAGAGTTAGTGCTGGGCTCATGAGCAGGATGTTCCTGCCTCAGTGGCCAGGATTCAGGCTAGGATGATGATAGTCCCCCAGCCCACCCCACACCCACCCCTCTGTCGCCAGCAGCTGTTTAGGAAGAAGAGCTGACTTCACTAGTGCTGGTTCTTCCATTTCTTGAGGAAAGATTGCACGTTCAATAGGGAGCTTCAGGTTTCCAGAACAGATTCCTGACATTTTTGGAGTCTGCAACTGACCTCAGTGCCCCCTGCCTTTGAGAAGAGAGTGGCCAAACCACTTCCTTCTGCTCGTCTGGCCTTTCCCCTCCGCTTCCTCATCACAACCTTCTTTAGTGACTCAGAACACCAACTCCATTCCCTGCTCTTTACTTTTGGGTGGGATCTCCGGCAATGACAATAAAGAACTTCACCCAAGTTTCCACCAGAGCTGCCTGATGTCTTAAGAGGCACATGCAGCCAGAGAGGTTGAGAGTTCTTCACCTGAGTCACCTAAGAGTGGGAGACTCCCTTCTGAATTCAGTTTTCAAAAGCAGATTTTCCTTTTCTTCTTGTAGTGTGAAAATGCTCTGGGCACTGCAGGATTTCAGGTTTGGGATCTAATTCCCAGTCCCTTTGTAACCTTGGCAGCTGAGCTTCGCCTTCACCAGCCTTCCCCTTTCCCTGCTCATGGCCTCTCACAGTCACATTCACTCTCCATATTACACAAATGAGTTCATTCTCAGCCCCAGACCCACCATGTGGCTTCTCTTTTTCCCGGTTTTCATCATGATAATCCAGCTTCTTCAGGTTCATCGACACCTTGAAAAGTCATCTGTGAATTCTTTCCTGCTTTGTCATTCAAAGTATTCTGCTCCCTGACTCCCCATTTCCCCCTCTCTCGATCACAGCAGTTGAGTTTGCCTGTGTTTTATCCATCCGTCCATCCATCCATCCATCCATGCCACCATCCATCCATCCATCCATCCATGCCACCATCCATCCATCCATCCATCCATCCATCCATCAGCCCTTGTGTCTGTCTATTTTGCATCAGGCACTGAGAACAGAGAGATGACATGGTGAGCTACTGTCCTCAGGAGGTGGCAGTGTAGGGGTGGGGAACGTGAACTATAAATGAAATATTAATGGCAGTGCAACTAGATATGCACAAGGCGCTGAGGCTGTAAAATGAGCGGCTTCAGATGGTGAATAAGGAGCCGGGAAGGAGGTGCTGGCAGAGGAACTGGGCGCCTCTAAGCGGAAGGAACGCTGTGCCCCAGCCTGGGGGCATGTAGAAGCATGCTGCAGGCAGAAGTCCTTAGTTTTGGAAAGTCGCTGAGGCACAAAGTGGAAGCATCTGGGGACAGGGCAGGGATTGGTGAGAGTTGGTCTGGAGAGCCAGGCAGGGCCCAGGGCTTCAGAGGCCCTGTGTGTTCTGTGAAGGTCCCAGGCTCATCCTGACAGTCCTGGGGCTCCACCCAGCGGTTGGTTTGAAGGATGAGAGTGACGAGGTGAGAGGAGTTTGGCGGGACAACCCTGGTGACACTGCTGCAGATGGGCTTCATGGGGGACCCTCCAAGACAGGGAGGCCTGTGGCGGGTGAAGGAAGGAAGGAGGTCACCAGGGAGGAAGAGGACACATTCGAGAGGTGCTTTGGAGTAAAGTTGGCAGCTCCGAATGATGGTGGGAGGAGTGTGGGGCTTCCATCCGGGTTTCTGGCTTGAGACAGTGGGTGCTTGGGAGTTCCGTGCCCACACCCAGTCCTGTCTAAACTAGAGGCCATTCTGCCTCAGGCCTGCCTCAGTTGTCCCTGTATTCCATTTTGTTACCAACACAGAAATCAGGCCTTCATTTCTTACCTAGATTCTTGAAGTATCCTCCTCATCTCTCTCAGTCCATCTGACAAAATCCAGCCAATGTGATCTTCCAGGGACGGCTGAACAATTCCCATTGCATAGTGAATGACGTCCCAGCTTTTAGCACCACCATCAATATTCATTGCTAGAGGAGACGTTCTTCACCCTTAGAGTCCGATTTTTGAGAGAAGATGAGGTATTTGATATGAGAAGCAAATGATTGTCAAGTGGTTTTTAAGGGGGGGCGGGCACAGACTTGCATCCTGAGGGCAAAGAAGGGAGCAGGCAGGGTGCTTCCAGAAGTGACCGTGGGTGATCATGGTCTGTGTCCATCATTTCTTCAGGTCTATCTTCCATCTCTCCCCTGGCCTACTGTTCTCTGGTCTGGTCCCATTGTTGACCGTTTTCTCATCTGGGTCTTTGCAGACTGCGTTGCCTCTGCCTGGAACACTTTCACTCGCATTCCTGTGTGTTGAAATCCTACCCATCATTTGATATCCAGCCCAAATCCAAGGACCCCATGGATCCCCTATGGGAATGGATCCTCCGGAAGCACTGTCCTCTCTTATGGCACTCTGCACACCTACTGCGCGCAGCGCCTGACGTGTCTCGTATTTCATCTCCCCCATTGAACCACTAGACTGGGAGCAGACGTGGAAAACCGGAGACCTTAAGCCTGGGGCAGCCTGTGAATGTGTTTTGTTAGTTTGCATATTTTCCCCCACCAAATTTAATTTACTGTAAACAAATCATAACCTGTGTAAAAATACAGAAAATTTGAGACTATGATATCGTAACGTATATCTGGGACTTATCAAGAATGAACCGATTTGCTGCCGACATCTCACTGCCCACGTCTCAAGAAATAAAATCCTGCATATACAGTGTGAAGGCTAGCCCACGCTTCCCTCTTGGAGCTGGTCTTCACACTGCTTTTCCAGATTTAGAGTTAGTCATTAGTCTTTAGAAAGCAAAGATTTCACGTAAGAATTGGCCTCCTACCACTTTGCTGCCGGTTCTCCGCACTGTTAGAGGCTCCACACCCTACCCAGAAGCTTGGAGCCTGCCTGTGGGGCCTGTGGCTGAGTCTGGCACGCGAGCCCCCTCGTCTTCCCTCTGTACACGCTTCCCAGCGCGTGGCGGGGGGCTGCTTATACCCCTCGTCCTCCTCCATATCACTGTCTGGCTGTGCCCCCTCCCTGGACCCAAGAATCCAAAGCTTCGTTCAAGCCCCGCGGGCTCCTGTGGCTTTTCCCAGTGACTTTCGCTCAGCTCCATTCTCGGTGCTCATATGCACCTAGCCCTTAAGCCGGAGGCTCAGCACTCGTCGTGCTTCCGTTCATTCTTTTTCCAGGTACTTCAGAGCCACCCAGGTGGAGAAAAGGGACCCCCCCAAAACCCTCGCTGGGTCAGGGTTCCTTGTTCTTCTCTCCGAGGCTTTGCTGCCCCCGTGTGGTGCCCCGCGTGAGATGCAGCGGGGTTTGGTGCAGAAGCTCTGCCTGCCTGGCACCCGCAGGTGTAAGAAGGGATGGCACATTTGTTGGTGACAACACAATGAGGCCTCCATGCTTGTTCAGTTGCAAATGCTGGCTATCCAATAACCACGTCTCTTTCTTCGGTCACTCCTCGCTTCCTGATGGAGATGTGGCCTTTCTCTTTCCTTCCCTGTGAAAATTGCCCTTGTGGTTCACAGGTGTGGCTGAAAAACAAGGAGGAAGGGCTCTTGTCCCAGATTCCACCAGCCTCCTTTCCCTCCCATGCTATTTGGCATTAACACATGGATGGTGTAAATACCTTTCAAGAGCTGGACAGATGCCGGCGCTTGCATTTTGTGTAGCGGCCGGGGAAGGATGGTGTTTCATTTTTCACCTTAACCCTGCTCCCTGGGGTCACTTCACCCTGATGCTGGTGCTGGCCATCTGTCCCTTGGGGTTTTGAAGGTGATGGAAACCTGTTCATCGGGGCCAGAGTGCTTTTCTCTTTTCCTGTCAGGATGAACACTGAAACTGTATCCTTTGTGGTAATCAATTTCAACTGATAAATGATCTGTAAATTTCCCTTGTAGGAAAGAAGTCATCTTGATGTTGAGTGCGACTCTCATCATTGCTGCCACACCCTGGCGAAGAGGAAGACAGCTTTGCCTCTGCACACTCCGACCCCACAGCAACCTGAGAGTGAGGACAGTTCAGCTCTGTTCCTGATGCCCCTGAGAGTGGATGTTTTTTTAAACTGTTGCTTCTTTGGTTGGTTAATGTCATTGAAGTCCCCAGACTTGTCCTCATTTGCTTCTACTTCTTGGGGACATTGGGTAGAATGAGAAGGACGGTGATTAAAAGGGAGATGGAGGGAAGGAAAGAAGTTAGAGATGGAAGAATAAAGGCATAAAGGATGTGATTCAAAGGAGAGAAGCATAAAGAAAGAAGAGGCAGTTCGATCTGGGGATGTGGGATAGGACCCGTCTACTTTTTGAGCTAAATAGGAGGTATATTTTGAAGAAGTTGACACCCGTTGCCTTTACTTGCCCAGGAACCCACGGTGTGGCTTCATTGGGTGATTTGAAAGGGTGGAATGCAAGATTATGAATGACCCAGATGACCATCACACATGTAGCCAGGCGTGCTCCAGAAACTTCCAAGGAAACTGGCACTGAAGCTGGTGGAGGCTGGATGCATTTTTTGTTTGCTCTTCCTGCTCAGGGCCATTTTGAAAGGCGGTAACATATGTCACATATAGCTCATGCTGTACATGCCTGAAACAAGGTAGAGTTTATTGAGCCTTCAACCACCCTTCCTGACCCTCCACCTATTCTCCCCAGCCCCAAACCCTGTTTTCATGCTTCTCCCCTAAGTTAAAGATGGTGATACCCAGAAATAAAAGCCAAAGAATGTATTAAGGGAAAGTATGTATTAAGAGAAACCACACCTGCCTCCAGGTTAAGCATTAAAGCATTTATTGCTCTTTTTATTGAACTGTGTGAAGAAATGGGAGATTTAAAAGAAAAGAAATCCTTTCTCATTTAAGAGGAGAAATGAAGCTATACTAATCAAAAGAGACCCTCAAGTAAAAAGAGACCCCAAATTGATCAGAATCAGCCACCGAGATTTGGAAACAGCAAATCACATTGTGTGTCCTCCGGTGTATGGTTAGGACAGAAAGCTTCTGGTTGGGTCAGTGACTGCGCAGGTTTTGATGACACGAGGAAGACAATTTGGCCATTGTGTGAAAGGAGCAGCAGGACCTGGGCGTGTGCTCCTGTCACCTTCTGTGTGAAGCCAGGAGGATGGAGCTTGATAACATCCTCCCATGTGGGCATCTCCGTCATCCTTACATCACTGAGTCTTGGGCTTCAGCGTCTCCTTGTGCCGGTCCACAAGGGAACCAACCCACTCCACGGTTTTCTGCCTGGCTTCCTCCCAGCTGTAGAGCGGCTTATATGCCAGATCTCGCTGAGCCTTCTTGTAAGAGAAGGTGAACGTGCTATTTGACAGCGTCACTGTGTGACGGTTGAAGGGGGGTCCATAGGTGTAAATTGGGCTGAGCAGGAAGCTCACTACTTCCAGCAGGAAGGCAACCCAGTACCTCAGGAATAAAGGAAGGCTCCAACTGGAATCAAGGCAGCCTCACGTTTTCAAAAGTTAATCTAATGAGGGAAAAAATTTGCAGTTAGCTTATCTTCAAGGGGGAATTGACCAAGATTGTGAGGTATTTTCCAAGCCTGGGAGTGATGATGGTTTTAGGAAACAGATGCCTCTGGCACTTCCCCTGTCACTCCATGTCCCCTGTTGTGGGGAGCTGCGGAGAGCAGGAATTCAAATGAAAAAACCGGTTACTCTTAGCATCCTCCTTGCACTAAAGGGATACTTAGAGGGTATGGGCAGGTAGAAACCAGAAAGGGGTTTTGTTTGTTTGTTTGTTTGTTTTTGTTTTCTTGAGATAGTGCTGGAGACCTAAAAGCAATTAGTTGCTTTAGAAAAGGAGTTTGAGTAGCCTGAATACAGAGGGCCAGGCTGGGGTTGGGGTGCTGCTGTGCTGAAGAGACTGAGCTCTGGGAATCAGAGGATGAGACTGCATGAGAAGATTCCTTAATGAAATGTGTCTGAATTTAAGGTTGTCGGAAAGCCACAATTCGGGAAGACCACCAAGCATTTAAGGGACGAGGGTGCAGTGAGGTTCACTTTGGGTGCCTGGCTGGAAACGGCTCTGTAATGCAGGCCCTGTGGTGAGCTGGAGAGATCCTATTCTGTGTCCTGGGAAACTCTTACTGTTCAGAAAATACTGTGGGAAGGCGTGTGCTGGGTGACTCTGTCCTGACAGACCTCTGTGAACCAGCTGTGCCAGCTCTCCCGGGAGGACTTCATCTTTCAGATGGGCAGGAGGGCTCTGAATGTTCTCATCAGCCTGCACAGCAGGTTCAAAATGATGACTGTAGCGGCACCTGGAAGGTCTGATTCTGGCCCAGGGAGCCGAGGGGTGGCTGGATATCAAGTGTCTGAAGTCAGATATTATTGACTTTTGATTGGAGCTGCAGTAGAAAGAGCTTCCACAGCCTTTGGAGTCACACAGGGGTGAGTTTAAAGTCTGACTCTCTTACTTCCTTACCTGTGGGGCCTTGGACAAGTTACTTGTCATTGCTCAGCCCTAGTTTTCTCATCTAAAAAACTGAAAATAGCGGCTTTGAGCTCTCCCAGTTGGTAGTAATCAGCAAAGGCACTTGGCTCAGAGCTCAGCAGGTGTCAGCGGAGGGAATTCTCTTCCCTTCCTTGTCCTTCTTTCTGATCCTTAATTCTCACGCCTTCCCACAGTATTTTATCCCCTTCCCAGGCTACGGTACCTTTCACGTTGACGTTCATGATGGATTCTCTGTGAATGGCACCCAAGACATCAATGATAGAGGCCGTGTGGATGACAACCGTGACGTCCTGGCAGGCTCTCTTCAGGAATGGCTCATCCAGAATGTCTCCCTCCAGCATCGTCAGCTTGGTCTTGCTCTGGAGCTCTGTGTGAACACCGGTCAGGTCAATGGAAGGATTTCCAGATCTGGCTGGGAAGTTTTCTGACAAACGTGACGTCATGTAGGTATTCAAGGGTGGTTAGAGTGGGGTGTTAGAATGAAAGGTGTACTGGCGGGTGCAGTGGCTCATGCCTGTAATCCCAGAATTTTGGGAGGCCGAGGTGGGTGGATCATGAGGTCAAGAGATCGAGACCATCATGGTCAACATGGTGAAACCCCATCTCTACTCAAAATACAAAAATTAGCTGGGCATGGTGGTGCGTGCCTGTAATCCCAGCTACTCAGGAGGCTGAGGCAGGAGAATTGCCTGAACCCGGGAGGCGGAGGTTGCGGTGAGCCGAGATCGTGCCATTGCACTCCAGCCTGGGTAACAAGAGCAAAACTCCGTCTCAAAAAAAAAAAAGAATAGAGGGTGTATATTCCATGGAGGGAACAAGCAAACAAAGGCACAGGAATCAGCATGTGTAGCGATTTACCAGGAAAGAGGCAACATCTGTTTCTACCTTATTTCAGAAAAGTAATTTAAGCAATGAGCTGGCAGGTGTGCCTGGAATATAAGCAGTGCTAGAGTCACGAGAGATTCACCAGATTTCCTAAGGCGAGTAGGGTGGCTGTGGGGAGTTGGGTATAAAAGGAAAAAAATTGAATTTAATTTTGTAAGCAATGAGGAATCATGTATGGAATCATGAATCTGGGTCTCCAGGGTCATGTCAAAGAAAAACGCTTATTGATATTTGGAATAAAAAGAGAAACAGGCTGGGAGTGGTGGCTCATGCCTTTCTTTTTGTACTGAAAATATAAGTAATTTTTGAAACTTTGGGAGGCCAAGGTGGGTGGATAGTTTGAGACCAGCCTGGACAACCTGGTAAAACCCCATCTCCACTAAAAATACAAAAACTAGCCAGCGTGGTGGCGTGTGCCTATAGTCTTTGCTACTCCAGAGGCTGAGGCAGAAGGATGGATGGAGGATGGATGAAGGATGGATGGAGGATGGATGGAGCCCAAGAGGTGAAGGTGGCAGTGAGCTTCCCAGCCTGGGAGGCAGAGCAAGACACTTCCTCAAAAAATAAAAAAAAGAGAGAGAGAGAGAGAAACAGAAGCAGAATTGTGGTATAGGAAGCTAATCTTGGCATGAGGATATAAAATGGACAGGTACAGGGGATATGAGAAAGCAAGGTGATCAAGAGATTAATCAGAATGTCGGTGCCAAAGTTTAGATGAGGACTGGAGCCAGGTCCAGCCACGGAAGCGGAGCGGGGAGGGATACACCAGCTTGGGTTTCAGACTCTATCTTTAAGGTCCTGGTACCTAATGGATCTGGTCTGAGAGGAAAAGAAGACAAAATCACCCCTACAGTTTCCTGTTTGGACAACTGGGAGGAGAGTGGGGCCCTTACTTAGGAATTGCGGATGGGCTTCAATCATGAATTTCATTGAAAAACTCGTCAGATATCATCAAAAGCAGACAGCAATGCTGAAAATGAGTCAGCCACCAGTGAACCAACATCCAGCTGTCTAGCATCTAGCCAAGGGCAGAGGGTACAGCGCCGATACCTTCAGGCTCCTCTGAAACCCACAGAAACTGAGGCTGCCAGTAAAGCGGTCACCTGGAGTTAGCCCACGCCGTGAACACCGTGCCACATGGAGCCCAGATAAATACTCTGCACTCATTCATGCTTTATAATCTGCATGCGGCTCACAGCTGGCTTATTTCCTTTCACAGCCATCTCGGGAGGTAGACATTCTGAGTCCCACTGTATCGATGAGGGAACTGAGGCTCAGAGACTTGAAGGACAGATCCAAGGTCAGGCTTCTCGTGAAGGCTCAAACCTGCTCGCCCACTGCAAGCTTTGTAGTCTGTGCCCCAGGTGCAGGACTAGCTATTTAGAATCAACTTTTCTGAGAAAGATTAAGAATAAGCCAGTGTTACTGAAATTGGCAGCAAAGGACAAAGAACTGTAAGAGTGAAAAAATCAAGACTGGAGAAATCCCTTCCTGGGGTACAGGCAGGACCATTTGCTCTCCTGATGCCTCTGCCACGTTTTACCTACTCCCAGCCCCTTCCCATAGTCAGGCAACTCCAAGAAGGGACTGCAGTGAGAGGAGTTAAGGAAGAGGCTGCTGGGGAGGAGGTGGTAACAGCCGGAGAGTGAATTTTTCTCTGGTTGTATTTCCACCTCTGCCCTTCCTGCTCCCTTCTTCTGCTTCTCCTTTGCTGCCAACTTCAGACAGACTGGCTGAAAGGAATGGCAATTTCAAAGCGGAGTAAGTCAAAACAAGTAGAAGATGACTCTTCCCCCGTGAGTTCCCAGGGATCTAGAGCGACCAGGAAAGGGGACTTTCTTGATGGAGCCACAGCTCCCTCCTTCCCAAAGCTGCTAGACTGACTACTCACTACTTGAGGGCACAGATGTCGTGCTAGACTGCGTATGTTCAAATCCAGCTTGAGCACATTTTAAGTGGAACGTTGAACAAGTTAATCGACCTCTCTCTGTCTCCTCAACTGTAAGAAAGGATAATAAAAAACCAATCTCGCAGGGTTGTTTTGAGGATCAAATTAGTGGACGCATGCAAAATTGTTAGTGCTTCACACAGAAAGAACACTGCCAAGATTCCCTGTTTTTATCTTCATACAGGCCCTTTTCCATTCGTTATACTTTGTGAATTTTCACCGTGGGAGAACTGTTCCCGTAGGCTGAGCATTTCTTTTTTCTGGTATCAGGCGTCAGAGTATAAATACTGTTGAGAGATAAAGATTGCAAGCATTTAATATTGGTGGCATGTTAATATTTGTTTATCAAAGACACCATTAAAACAGAAGGTGGGGGAAATCAGACATTTCAAGAAGTTAGAGAAGAGTGAATGGGGAGTACATTGTTGGGTGTGGTCCCTGAATGTTGTCAAGGGGGACTTCTCTGTGGGCAGGTCAGGACCCTTTGGGCAGCCAGAGCCCCCATGTAGACACACAGTCTCCCCAATTTCCTGGGTTGGGGAGGTGGACAGGGTATCAGTTTGGGGCACCCAGGGAGGTAAAGGGAGAGACTGAAGACCCACTTTGCCAAGCGTCAGCCCCGGGGCCAAGCGATGCAGCCTCTGGAAGAAGCTCTGGTCTGAGCTCTGCTGCGTGTTAATCAGACGGCCTGGGCAAGTCGCTTTCCGTTTCTAGACCTTGATGTATTCATTGTCCAGTTGGATGTGACCCATTTTCTTCCTTCTTCATGGAGTTATTGCCGTCAATTTCTTTGGAGTATTGAGTGGTGGTTAAAAGAAAGCCATATATGAGAACCCTAAAGGAGGCGTGTCCAGCCTCACGCTGCCTCTTACTGTCTCTGCTCTGTGCTGTGCACTTGTACACGTGCCCTCCCTCTCACTGATGCTCTCTCTCTCATCCTCTTCCTCTTTCTCATTCATTCTCTTTCTCATTCTCTCTCTTCATTTTCTCTCTCTCTAATACCCACACACACAAACCACACACACAGTGACGTGCTCATTTTTACCTTTGCTTCCTTTTATTTTGTCTTCATTAAAAATGCGAAGGAGGCTTCCAAACAAAAGAAAGCCTGAGGCAGTCTAGAGAGACAGGACCCACTGGTGAGGGCTCCAGGGCAAGGGTGTCCTTTGCGAGTGTTGCAAAGCAATTGCCAAGGCAAAAAGCTTCAGAATGTAAAAGACTTACAGACAAGAAAGAGAACTGAGGTGGGATTTTCTAGATGAGAAGAAAAAGGAACCTGGAGGCTGAGGTGGCTGCCTCGCAAGTTCCGGGCAGGGCCAGAATCCAGTCTCTGGACACCCCGTCCAGTATCCTTCACACTGTCCCATTTTATACGATTTCCTTTCTGATGACTTTGGATGTGGAATTGGCTTTCACTTGGCTACGACTTTCCATAACTTGTTAGACAAAGTCCACGTCCCCACACCCAGGCAGAGTTGAAGATGGACCACACACCCATGAGCCAAGTTTACTTACTGGAAAATTCCTCCCTCGACTCCGGTCTGAAGGTCTTGTCCAAGGCCCTGATCTCCTTCAGCTCCTTCTCCTCCACCAACAGGCGGACGATCCTCCGACCCAGAAACCCTCCTGCTCCTGTCACAAGGCAGCTCCAGCCCATCGTGGAAAATCCAAGGTAGCAGGAAACACTTGCGTGGAAACAGAAGACGCGGCCTTCGGGGCCGGAATCTCCAACAAGCGGGAAGAGGCCCAGCGGCTGCTACCGTCTGGTTTCCGCGCTGGACCCCTCCCAGGACTCGTGACGCCAAGGCCGCTGCCAGTGGCCACGAAGAGTCGGGGTTGAGCCCCAGCTGAGCCGAGGGCTCGCACACCCCTGCCCTCCCGGGCCCGCGCCTCCTACGGAAACGAGTGGGGGCCTGGCTCCAAGTAGAGCGCAGTGTATGTGTCCACCTCGCCTTTTTCCCTGGCAAACCGTGACTCGGACCGGACATTTTCCACCAAGGGCAAAGCTGTAAAGGTTACCGTGAGGAAAGACAAAGATACCGGGGAGAGGAAAGGGGCTGCATTCATTTTATTTTTGGGTAAAGACTCGGCACAAAACTGTACCAGGGCAATAAACAGCAGACGGTTATTTGGTAGAGTGATTTGTGGGTCGGAGGGTCGTCCGCCTGTTGGTGGAGGAGAAGGAGCTGAAGGAGATCAGGGCCTTGGACAAGGCCTTCAGACCGGAGTCGAGGGAGGAATTTTCCAGTAAGTAAACTTGGGTCATGGGTGTGTGGTCCATCTTCAACTCTGCCTGGGTGTGGGGACGTGGACTTTGTCTAACAAGTTATGGAAAGTCGTAGCCAAGTGAAAGCCAATTCCACATCCAAAGTCATCAGAAAGGAAATCGTATAAAATGGGACAGTGTGAAGGATACTGGACGGGGTGTCCAGAGACTGGATTCCGGCCCTGCCTGGAACTTGAGAGGCAGCCACCTCAGCCTCCAGGTCCCCTTTATCTTCTCATCTAGAAAACCCCACCTCAGCTCTCTATCGTGTTAATACTATTGTCATCTTAAGAAAAAAGATATTTTAAAAATTTATTTGAAAAGTTCATCATAAGGGCTTTTCTCATATCTGATTTGTTTACATGAGGACTTCTGATATTTAATCCTTAAAAACTTCCTGAAGACCGAAAAGTTGAATGATTTATTGTTACTTATGTTAATAAACTTTTCAAGAGAATTTTGTCAAAAAAAAAAAAAAAAAGAAAGAGAAAGAAGAAAAAGAAAGAAAGAAAGAGAGAGAAAGAAAGAAACAGAAGATGCCAGGGAGATCTTATTCTAGGGTGACGCTGAAGAGGGCTAAAAAAGAAGGTCAGCTGTTTCTACACTCACACAAATGCCTTTTTTCTTCCACCCAATTTTTTTGCAAAAATTCCACATCCCCACCACTGCTAGAAGTAGCTGAAAGAAAATAAAAAATCTCTAACCATTAGTTAGATTATTAATAGCTGGACAGAGTAGTCAGGGTGCTGGTCGCCTCATCCCCTGAGGCAAGACTGGAGCTTTGTGTACTGTGGTTTCCGGCTCAGCCAGTGTCACCATGAACTCCCGCCACAAACTCATTGCTCTCTGCTTCTCCAGGATCCCTTTTCTCAGAAGAATAGTGGCCTTTAGGTTTTATCTCTAATTCTTCCCAGAAACAGGAAGAGAAATTCAACCTTAAGGCTGCAATGTGATAAAGAGTCTTGGGTTTAGACTTAGCAGGACACCGGTCAGTTGATATCGGCTCTCTGGGGTCCAAACCTGTGAACTTAAATAGACTGGGAGAAATCTTCAAGTGAAATGTGAATTTTGTCCTGTATGGAGGGAAACCCACGTAAGCCCGTCATCTCCTCTCTCAGAATGTCATTTGAAAGGTCACTGCTGTCTCACAAAGTTTAGAAATTTGCAATGGTGACAGCTCCAATCAGTGAGATTTATGAGGGATGACTTCTTTCCTACCCAATATATCCAAAACCTCAATTGCAATTTTCCCTTGGAGAACTTTGGATTCCTAGAAGAAGCGTGTCATTGAAGGGAAGCTATCTGGTGATAACCGCGTAAAGATGTGACCTGTACCGCAAGGGTGGGGATTTGCAGTTGTTTGCACCAATGACTCGTATCACAGATGTTTGAATTTATCCCATAGTTGTGAGTGCAAAACCATTCTGAACAGATTCCTGAACTGAATATGCTGTGAATGCTTCTGTGACGTTTGCCTGACAATTTTCCTAATATCACTACCATAAGCTCCCCAAAACACACTCCTCTTTAAAAAGATCAAGATGTAATTTACATGTATTACAATGCCCAGATCTTAACCGTTCAGTGTCAATGAACCTTGACGGTTATATATGCCCATTTACATTCCATCCAAAAGAAGATCTAGACCATTTCCTTCACTCCGTTTCCTGTTAATTCCCTGCCCTTCCCCCAACCTACCTCATAGGCAACTACTTTCTGATTTTTATTCCCTCAGAATTCCCGTTTTCTATTTCAATTTCCTGCATTTCCCAATTTATTCCTCTAAGATGTCTGTGTTCTAGATATATGTTTACATATAAAATCACTCTAAAATTTAGTTTTGCGCATGGTGTACAGAAAACATAACTATTTATTTTCTCTATTGTGTGTTCGTTTTTATATTTTATGATTTTCATTATTTTCATGATTGGATTACATTTATTAACTTTGGATTTTTTTATCAGGGTTCTTACAATAAAAGCATAGATAATTGCCTTTCGTCCTTTGCTCATTTCCGCTATAGGCATTTAAGGTTGTAATTTCTCTCTAAGCACTATGGTAGCTGTATCCAACATTTTGATGCACTGGGTTATCCTCATTCACTTAATGATGTTTTGAATTTTTTCTTGTGAGTTTGGCTATGACCAAAGTATTATTTAGCGTATGTTGCTTGTTTTCTAGGATTGGGATTTTCTAGATCTCTTATCGCTATGAATTTCCAATTAAATACTATTGTGGCCAGAGCAGGTACTCCGTATGATTTTGATTTTGGATATATACTGAGACTTGTTATATGGTGCAGCGTATGGTCTATGTTGGTGAAAATGCCGTAAACACTTGAAAAGAATGCTTTCTGCAGTTGTTGGAAGTAACACTCTACAGATGATTTGGTTTGAAACCCCACGGTGGGTCTTGCCCTCCTCCCGTGTTGCAGACATTCAACTACTACTTGGGACCTGACTAGCAACACTTCAAACCCACTTGCCTAGAAGAGGTTGGCCCTGTGCTTCAAGATGTAGCAGCTTGTTCTCTGAAGCTCTCAGAACTAGCTACAAGTGCTGGGTCTTGCTGAGACCACGCAGGTGCATCACATGCCTTTGCCTGCTGTAGCAGATGCTGGAGTGCACGTTAGATATTCCCCATCTCCTTCAGGACAGGGTAACTCATTCCAGCAATGCTTGAGAGCTCTGGAGGCTAATAGACTTCAACCAGTGTCTCTCTTGGAGTCTCTGAGTGGAACCAGTAAATTTAAGCTTCCTTTAGCCAATAAATATCTCATTTTCCATAGGGAAGTAAGAAATAAAGGGCAAGACTGAAGTGAACCAATTTTCTTTTATTTTTAAACAGTTTTACTGAGGTATAATGGACATATCGTAACATTCACCTGTTTTAAGGCACAGTTCAATTATGTTTATTAAAATTTTAGACTTGTGTGCCCGTCATCACAATTCTGTTTTGAAACACTTCTCTCTTTTCTAAGGAATCCCTCATGCCCACCAGCTGCCACCCCTTATTCCCAAGCCCCCAGCTCTAGGCCGCCACTAATTAACTTTCCGACTACACAGATTTGATTTTTCTGGACACCATATACATGGAATCATACAATATGTGGTCTTTTGTATCCACCGTTTTTCACTTAGCTTAATACATTTTTGTGGCTCATGTATGTGGTAGCACATATCAATATTTCATTCCTTTTAGGTGCCACATTCTATTAAATTGTGTGAATGGCTCCCATTAGTTTATTCATTCATCAATTGATATTCAGTGTGTTTCCCCTTTTTTGACTACTATGGATAAGGCTGTTAGGAATATTCACATTCACATGTCGTGCAGACGTTCATTTTTATTTCTTTGCAGTAGACGGGTAGAAGTGAAACTGCTAGATCACATGGTAAATGTAACTTTGCTATTTTAAGAAACTGCCGAACTGTTTTCCACGGAGGCTGCATGTCTCATCAACAATGCATGAGTATTTCAACTTGTTCACATTGTTGTGTTTTCACTTCCTCTAGTTGTTATCGTCTTTTTTATTGTAGCATCGTAGTGGGGAAGAAGTGGCGTCACACTGTAATTTTGATCTGCATTTCCCTGCTGACTGATGATGCTGACCATCTTCTCATGTGCTTTATCGGCCATTCCTACACTTTTTTGGTGAAATGGTTACTCAAATATTTTGCCCATTTTAAAATTGGGTTATTTACCTTTTTGTTGTTTAATTGTAAGTACACTTTATATTCTAGAAGCAAGTCTTTATCAAATACATGATTTGAAAAATTTTTTTCTTAGTCTGTGGCTTATCTTTTCATTTTCATATTGATGTCTTTTAAGATGCAAACATTTGTATTTTTGATCCTGTTTTATTTTCAAATGTTTTTCCTTTTACCAGGAAAAGTTGGGGTTTTGCCTAATTCAGGATTATGAATATGTTAATCTATGCTTTCTCCTAAGATGTATATAATTTTGCCCTTACATTTAGGCCTATAATCCATATTGAGAGAATTGCTGCTTATGTATGAGTTAATTGTCTAAATTCATATGGCCCATTTATTTTGACAAAAGTAAATTCAATTAAGGAAAATGATAAGTCTCTTAAACAAGTGATACTGAGACAATTGAATTGCCTACATGCTCAGGGAATTTCAGCATGCTATGTAAAACGATGCCCATCTAAGTCACACCCTATTGGCCTCAGAGTGTGAAGAATTTCTCCATCTGATAACCATGTGGTAAATATTATGGTGTAGCTAGCTCTCTTCTCTTCCTGTTCCATGGGCAGCCACATTGTCCTGTTCTGTTCCAGCCACATCCTTGAGAAACCACAGTGAAGGCGAAAGCCTGAGTCAATGTATTTGGTCATATTGACTGCCTGGTCACCAGGGCTACTTTTATCTCTGGTCAAGCGGATATCGTCACCATCAATGACCCTGTCATTGACCTCAACTACATGGCCTACGTTTTCCAGTATGATTCCACCCATGGCGAATTCCATGGCACCGTCAAAGCTGAGAATGGGAAGCTTGTCCCATCACTATCTTCCAGGGGCTCGATCCTTCCAAAGTCAAATGGGGCAATGCTGGTACTGAGTACCTTGTGGAGTCCATCCGTGTCTTCACTACAATGGAGGAGGCTGGGGCTCTGTCTCAGAGGGGAGCCAGAGGGTTATTATCTCTGCCCTCTCTGCTAACGCCTCCAGGTTCCTGATGGATGTGAGCTGTGAGAAGTATGACAACAGCTTCAAGATCATCAGCAATGTCTCCTGTACCACCAACTGCTTAGCACCCCTGTCCAAGATCACCTATGACAACTTTGGTGTCGTGGAAGGACTCATAACCACAGTCCACGCCATCACTGCCATCCAGAAGACTGTGGATGGCCCCTCTGGGAAACTGTGGCTGACGGTCACGAGGCTCTCCAGAATGTCATTACGGCTACTGCCAAGGCTGTGGGTGAGGTCATCCCTTCCCAAATGCAAGGACCCCATGAATCCCCTGTGAGGATCAATCCTCCAAAAGTACTTTCCTTTCTTATGGCACTCTTCACATCTACTGAGCACAGCACCTAACATGTCCAATATTTTATCTCCCCCACTAGACTGGGAGCAAAAGTGGAAAATCAGAAGTATTAGGCCTTGGTCCAGCCTGCAGACTGGTTTTATTAGTTTGCATGCTTTCCCCCGACAAAACTTAATTTATTAAAAAATTAAACCTATGTTAAACATACAGAAAATCTGAGAATATGATATAATAATGTATATTTTGGACATACCACCAAGAATGAATGGATTTGCCACTGACCCCTCTCCACCCACTTTTTTTTTCCAGGATGGTTAACTTTTTTTTTTTATTGTATTTGGGCTCCGGGGCACATGTGCACATCCTGCATCCTGCAGGATTGTTACATAGGTACATACATGCCATGGTGATTTGCTGTCTCCATCACCCCCACCCCCGTCACCTACATCAGGCATTTCTCCCGGTGTTATTCCTCCCCATCCTCCCCCCTCCACTGTCCCTCCCCTCCCCTCCCCTCCTCTCCACCCCCTACCTAGCCCTGTGAGTCTTGTTCCCTTCCCTGTGCCCAATTGTTCTCGTTGTTCATCACCCACCTATGAGTGAAAACACGTGGTGTTTGGTTTTCTGTTCTTGTGTCAGTTTGCTGAGAATGATGGTTTCTACATTCATCCACGTTTCTACAAAGGACACTAACTCATTTTTATGGCTGCATAGTACTTCATGGTGTATATGTGCCACATTTTTTCTCTGTCCAGTCTATCATCCATGGGCATTTGGGTTGATTCCAGGTCTTTGCTATTGTAAACAGTGCCGCAGTGAACATACATATACATGTATCTTTATGATAGAATGATTTATAATCCTTTGGGTATATACCCAGTAATGGGATTGCTGGGTCAAATGGAATTTCTATTTCTAGGTCCTTGAGGAATCGCCACACCGTCTTCCACAATGGTTGAACTAATTTACACTCCCACCAACAGTGTAAAAGTGTTCCTATTTCTCCACATCCTCTCCAGCATCTGTTGTCTCCAGATTTTTTAATGATCGCCATTCTATCTGGCATGAGATGGTATCTTAATGTGGTTTTGATTTGTATTTATTTAATGACCAGTGATGATGAGCATTTTTTTTTTTTTTGATCTTCACTGGCCTTTATTAAACGAGGGTTGTCAGGAGCAAGAAGGTGGGATCAAGAGCAGCAATAGCAGAAATAAGTATAAACGTATCAAAAAATACAAAATGCTAGCACCGAGGAGAGTATGAAGCATTGGGTTGTGGCCCAGAGGGACCTCTGGGGCACAGGATTGAGGACTTGCCATAGCCTCCAAGGGAACCTAGGCCTGGGGGGCCTCTGCCGGGTCCTTGGCTGAGGGTGGAAAAGTGGCTTGAGCGGGACCCAACCCTGGGAGAGGTCAGTGGTGGCCCAGAACAGCTGCCCAAAGTCTGCATTTCACCCCCAAGAACCCAACCCTGCCCCAGACTTAGAGGAAAAGATAAGCATCCCTTGGGCCTCAACTCTACTCACATCAGGTTAAGGTGAAAGGGTAAACTCCCAGATCAAATTTGCACCCACTCACATTTTGGAACCGGCGGTAGGGTACAAATTGCACAATGTCACGGGCAGCGGCCTGCCCAGAACGTGTATGCAGGGGTCCGCCATCAGCGTCCAGCTGCTCCATGGCCTCGAAGTCGGCGCCACCCACACCCACAATGATCACTGACATGGGTAGGTTCGAGGCACACACCACAGCCTCACGTGTGGCCTCCAGATCGGTCACAGCACCATCAGTCAGCAGCAACAGCACGAAGTATTGCGAGGCAGTCCCCTGATGTGCAGCCTGGGCTGCAAACCTGGCCACATGGTTGATGATGGGTGCAAAGTTGGTGGGGCCATAGAGGCGGACTTGGGGCAGGGCCTGGCGGTAGGCATCCACAATGCCCTGGATGCCTACACAGTAGGGGTTACTGGGGTTGAAATTCAAGGCAAATTCATGCGAGACCTGCCAGTCAGGGGGAACCTGGGCCCCAAATCCAAACGCTGGGAACAGCTTGTCTGAGTCATAGTCCTGAACCACGGTGCCCACACTCCACAGTGCCGTCAGGTACTCATTGACCCCTGTTGGACTCAGGTAGTGCAGAGAGTCCGGTGAGGAGGGGTCTCCATTGGAGCCAGTGAAGTCCACGCCCACAGTGAAGTTGATCTGACAGCCTCCCATCACATAGTCCAGGAAGGAATACTCTGTTTCTACCCGGCAAATTTTCACACAGATGGTTCCAGAGTTCTTGTAAGTTTTCTTTTTCTGCTGCTTCTCAGGGTGAATGCATTCAAACTCAGCCGGGACTGCTTGCAGCTGGGCCAAGCTGGTGTGGAAGGTACCGATGAGATCATGTGACCCATCACTATCATAATCGGAGCATCGCACCTGTATGGGTGTGCTGGGGTCCCCACCACAGAAATGCTGAACTGGGACTGAGAAGCGCTTCCATGTAGGGTTCAGGTTGTTCTTGATGACCTCAGATCTGTACACCAGGTGCCATTTCCCGTCACCCTGGTGGAAGAACTCCAGAAATGGATCTGATTTTCCCAGGAAGTCCTTCTTATCTAGGTTTCTGGCCTCTATCTCCATGGTTACCACACGATTGTCCTTCAACTCTTGAGCTGAAACCGTGATGGTCCCCCGCCCAGCAGGTTTTCCAGGCTTCAGCATCAAGGGGAGGGTCAGTACCTGGCTGGACACAATCTGTCCTAGGGAACACTCAGCACCCCCTAGGAAGTCATCATCCCCCAGCTCTGGTGTCTTGTTGTCTATGTCATAGATTCCAAAGCGTAGCTTCTGGACTGTCTCAAAGTGGTACTCAAGCTGCAGAGTCTTGGAGAACTCAGGGCTTGAGCAGTTCCGCACTCGTTCAGTCCGGCCAAGCTCAGCCCAGTTGCCCCCTCCCACATCCTGTAAAAGGACACAGAGTGGGTCAGACTTGGAGCTGATGTCCTTGTCAATGAGATGGTCACAGGAAATAGACAGCTGAACCAAGGTCACGCAGTGGGCCATCAGGGAAAGCTGCGCGGCACCAGAACCCAGACCCTGAATTACCCCCCGCGCGAGTGCCTCAGCCCCGCGGCCGACAGCCCCAGCCCGAACGGCTGCCCGGAACCCGCGGCAGCCACCACCTCCTTCGCCACTTCACAAAATGGATGAGCATTTTTTATATGTTTATTGGCCTCATATATGTCTTCTTTTGAAAAGTGTCTGTTCATATCCTTCACCCACTTTTGAATGGGTTTGCTTTTTTCTTGTAAATCTCCTTTAGTTCTTTGTAGATTCTGGGTATTAGCCCTTTGTCTGATAGGTAGATTGTGAAAATTTTTTCCCATTCTGTTGGTTGCTGGTTCACTCTAATGATTGTTTATTTTGCTGTGCAGAAGCTCTTAAGTTTAATTAGGTCCCATTTGTCTATTTTGGCTTTTGTTGCCATTGCTTTTGGTGTTTTAGTCATGAAGTCCTTGCCTGTGCCTATTTCCTGAATGGTTTTGCCTAGGTTTTCTTCTAGGGTTTTTATGGTGTTAGTTCTTATGTTTAATTTTTAATCCATCTGGAGTTAATTTTTGTATAAAGTATAAGGAAGGGGTCCAGATTTAGCTTCCTGCATGTGGCTAGCCAGTTTTCCCAACACCATTTATTAAACAGGGAATACTTTCCCCATTGCTTGTTTTTGCCGGATTTGTCAAAGATCAGATGGTTGTAGATGTGTGGTATTTCTTCTGGGACCTCTGTTCTGTTCCATTCGTCTATATCTCTGTTTTGGGACTAGTACCATGCTGTTTTGACTACTGTAGCCTTGTAGTATTGTTTGAAGTCAGGTAGCATGATGCCTCCAGCTTTATTCTTTTTGCTTAGGATTGTCTTGGCTATGCAGGCTCTCTTTTGGTTCCATACGAAGTTTAAAGTGTTTTTTTCTAGTTCTGTGAAGAAGGTCAATGGTAGCTTGATGGGGATAGCATTGAATCTATAAATTACTTGGGGCAGTATGGCCATTTTCACAATATTGATTCTTCCTAACCATGAGAATGGAATGTTTTTCCATCTGTTTGTGTCCTCTCTTGTTTCATTGAGCAGCGGTTTGTAGTTCTCCTTGAAGAGGTCCTTCACATCCTTTGTTAGTTGTATTCCTAGGTATTTTATTCTCTTAGTAGCAATTGTGAATGGGAGTTCACTCATGATTTAGCTCTCGGTTTGTCTGCTATTGGTGTATAGAAATGCTTGTGATTTTTGCACATTGATTTTGTATCCTGAGACTTTGCTGAAGTTGCTTATCAGCCTAAGGAGCTTTTGGGCTGAGAGGATGGGGTCTTTTAAATATATGATCATGTCATCTGCAAATAGAGACAATTTGACTTCTTCTTTTCATAATTGAATGCCCTTTGTTTCTTCTTCTTGCTTAATTGCTCTGGCTAGAACTTCCAATACTATATTGAATAGGAGTGGTGAGAGAGGGCATCCTTGTCTAGTGACGGTTTTTAAAGGGAATGCTACTAATTTTTGCCCATTCAGTATGATATTGGCTGTGGGTTTGTCATAAATAGCTTTTATTGTTTTGAGATACATTCCATCAATACCTAGTTTATTGAGAGATTTTAGCATAAAGGACTGTTGAATTTTGTCGAAGGCCTTCTCTGCATCTATTGAGATAATCATGTGGTTTTTGTCTTTGGTTCCATTTATGTGGTGGATTATGTTTATAGATTTGTGTATGTTGATCCAGGCTTGCATCCCTAGGATGAAGCCTACTTGATCATGGTGGATGAGCTTTTTGATATGCTGTTGGATTTGGTTTGCCAGTATTTTATTGAAGATTTTTGCATCATGGATATTGGCCTGTAGTTTTCTTTTTCAGTTGTGTCTCTGCCAGAATTTGGTATCAGGATGATGTTGGTCTCATAGAAAGAGTTAGGAAGGATTCCCTCATTTTGTATTGTTTGGAATAGTTTCAGAAGGAGTGGTACCAGCTCCTCTTTGTATGTCTGGTAGAATTCAGCTGTGAACCCGTCTGGACCTGGACTTTTTTTGGGTTGGTAAGCTATTAATTTCTTCCTCGACTTCAGACCTTGTTATTGATCTATTCAGGGTTTCACCTTCTTCTTGGCTTAGTCTTGAGAGTGTGTAAATGTCCAGGAATTTATCCATTTCTTCCAAATTTACTGGATTATGTGCATAGAGTTGTTTGTAGTAATCTCTGATGGTAGTTTATATTTCTGAGGAATCAGTGATTTCCCTTTTATTGTTTTTTATTGCATCCATTCAATTCTTCTCTCTTTTCTTTTTTATTAGTCTAGTTAGCAGACTGTCTATTTTGATATTTTCGAAAAGCCAGCTCCTGGATTTATTGATTTTTTGAAGGTTTTTTCGTGTCTCTATCTCCTTCAGTTCTGCTCTGATCTTCGTTATTTCTTGTCTTCTGCTAGCTTTTGAGTTTTTTTGATCTTGCTCCTCTAGCTCTTTCAATTTTGATGATAGGGTGTCAATTTTAGATCTTTCCTTGTTTCTCATGTGGGCATTTATTGCTATAAATTTCCCTCTAGACACTGCTTTAAATGTGTCCCAGAGATTCTGGTACATTGTGTCTTCATTCTTGTTGGTTCCAAAGAACATTTTTATTTCTGCCTTCGTTTCCTTGTTTATCCATTCATCATTCAGGAGCAAGTTGTTCAGTTTCCATGTGATCGTGTGGTTTTGAGTGCTTTTCTTAATCCTGAGTTCTGATTTGATCATGCTGTGGTCTGAGAAACTGTTATGATTTCTGTTCTTTTGCATTTGCTGAGGAGTGGTTGACTTCCAATTATGTGGTCAATTTTGGAGTAAGTGCAATGTGATGCTGAGAAGAATGTCTATTCTGTGGATTTGGGGTGGAGTGTCCTGTAAATGTTTATTAGGTCTGCTTGGTCCAAATCTGCATTCAAGTCCTGGATATCCTTGTTGACTTTCTGTCTCATTGATCTGTCTAATATTGTCAGTGGAGTGTTAAAGTCTCCCCCTATAATTGTGTGGGAGTCTAAGTTTCTTTGTAGGTCTTTAAGAACTTGCTTTATGTATCTAGGTGCTCCTGCATTGGGTGCATAAATATTTAGGATAGTTAGCTCTTCTTGTTGCATTGATCCTTTTACCATTATGTAATGCCCTTCTTTGTCTCTTTTGATCTCAGTTGGTTTAAAGTCCATTTTATCAGAGACTAGGATTGCTACCCCTGCTATTTTTTTATTTTTATTTTTTGCCCTCCATTTGCTCTCCATTTTCTTCCATCCCATTATTTTGAGTCTATGTGAGCCTTTGCATGAGAGATAGGTCTCCTAAATAAGCACACGGATGGGCCTTGATTTTTTTATCCAGCTTGCCAGTCTGTGGCTTTTGATTGGGGCGTTTTGGCCTTTGAGTCCGTTGGCCTTTCCTTTGTGGGTGACCCGACCTTTCTCTCTGGCTGCCCTTAGGATTTTTTTCCTTCATTTCAACCCTAGTGAATCTGATAACTATGTGCCTTGGGGTTGCTCTTCTTGAGGAATATCTTTGTGGTGTTCTCTGTATTTCCTGGATTTGAATGTTGGCCTGCCTTGTTAGGTTGGGAAAGTTCTCTTGGATAATATCTTGAAGAGTGTTTTCCAAGTTGGATTCATTCTCCCTGTCACATTCAGGTACACCAATCAAGCGTAGATTAGGTTTTTTTTGCATCATCCCATATTTCTTGGAGGCTTCGTTCACTTCTTTTCACTCTTTTTTCTCCAATCTTGCCTTCTCATTTTATTTCATTGATTTGATCTTCTATCTCTGATATCCTTTCTTCTGCTTGATCAGTTCGGCTGTTGAAACTGGTGTATGCTTCACGAAGTTCTCGTGCTGTGTTTTTCAGCTCCATCAAGTCATTTATGTTCTTTTCTAAGCTGGTTATTCTAGTTAGCATTTCATCTAACCTTTTTTCAAGGTTCTTAGTTTCTTTGCATTGGGTTAGAACATGATCTTTTAACTCAGAGAAGTTTGTTACTATTCACCTTCTGAAGCCCACTTCTGTCAATTCGTCAGATTCATTCTCTGTCTTTTTGCTTGTTCAGTTGAGACTGCTGACCCATCGTCCCCCTGGTCTCTTTCTTCGAACACCCCTTGCTGCCTGTTGGAGGTAGGCTTTTTCCTTCCCTTCCCTGTGAAAATTGCCCTGGTGGTTTTATAGGTGTAGGGTTTCACTAGGCTGAAAAACAAGGAGGAAGGTCTCTTGCCCCAGATTCCAACACCCTCCTATCCTTCCCGTGCTGTTTATCATTAACATATGGATGGTGTAAAAGAGCCAGACAGATGCTGGCTCTTGCATTTTGTGCAGTGGCTGGGGAAGCATGGGGTTCCATTTTTCACCCCACTGCCTGGGGTCACTCCACCCTGACGCTCATGCTAACCGTCTGTCCCTTGGGGTTTTGAAGGTGGTAGAAACCTGCTCATCTGGGCCAGAATTGTTTCCTTTTTTCCTTCAGAATAAATACTAAAACTATCTCCTTTGCACTAGTCAAATTCAACTGATTAATGATCTGTAAATTTCCTGTGTATGAAAGAAGCCATTTTGATGTTGGATGTGACACTCATCATGGCTGTGATACACACAGGTCCAGCAGACAGCAGCTGCCCCCCCAACACTCCAGACCCACAGCAACCTCCTCATCGGCTTCAGTTCACTCTGCCCCTGATGCCCCTAACAGTGTTTTTTTTAACTGCTGCTTCTTTGGTTGGTGAATGACTGTCATTATTGAAGTACTGGCATTTGTCTTAATTGGTCTCCTCTCCTCAGGGAAATTGAGAAGAATGAGAGGTCCGGTGATTATGAAAGGATGTGATTTAAAGAAGAGAAGGAGAAACAGACAGTTAAATCTGGGGATGTGGAATAGTGGACTTCAATTTTGGGGGCTGAATAGAAGGTATATTTTCAGAGAAGCTCACACTTGGTCAGGAACCCATGCTGTAGCTTCATTGTGTGATTTGAAAGGGTAAAGTGCAGGGTTATAAATGACCAGAACAGCCAACACGTATATAGCCAGGAGAATTCTAGCAAGAAAAAGGTAACCCAAGTGAGCTGGTGCTCTTCCAGGATCGGCACTCTAACGAGACCAGTTCTGGCTGTGAGACTCCGTAGGGAGATACGGACTTTCAAGGTCGACTCCC